TACTGCAGTTGCATTTCTGGAAATTATTTCAGTTTATTTCCCTGTACAAAAACACTTGAGACCTCTTGGTAAACAGGACTTGCAGAACAGGTGTAGTTTCACTATGTGGATCTTGGCAGGATTCTTCCATGTTTGCTTTGTCTCAAGTGTCAGTTTTTATGTGGCTAATGAGAGAAATTTAAATTGGTGTAAACTCGAGGCTTGGAAAGTGTTCATGATTGGAAGTAGCATTAAATAAGATTAATAATTTAAAGCTTGCTTCCCTAAACAGCGTTAACATGTATTTAATCTTGTGGTATAATTGATATACCAGTCTCAATTTCATTTTAGATTCTACGTAATTGGTTACTGGGAGCACTTATCAGTGTATTGAGGAGAAACTGCATGTGTATGTTAGCTTGGAGGGGCTCAGAGCTACGTTCAAAATCAGTAAAGACAAATGGACGACACAGAGCTGCCATTTGGTCTTTGATTTAATCACAGAATTAAGTCAAAGATTAAGCCAACAGCTGTGTTTTTCAGTGTTTCAGTTTCCAAGACTGTTCTTTCCTCAGAAGATTCCACAAAAAGTCTACTTGGATTCAAAACAAGTTTGGTTTTTCGTAGTTCAGACTTTACAGAGTTAATAAAATATGAAGAATTTTCAGGAAAAGGTAATGGAGGTTTTACCTGGAGGCAGTCATTTGCCACGACGGTTAGAAGGAAGGGTCCAAATGGAGTTTCTTTCAAAGCCAGCTTCACTGTGGAAACATCACTAGTTTATATAGACAAATGATTTATTTATTTTTATTTCTAGTCTAAAGGGAGATGAATGAGCCTTTGTAAGCCCCTCCTTAGGCAAAAATGTTAATGAGAAATGTTAATGTCATTTGCTGTGAAACTACCAGAATCTTAAAATGCCATAATACAAATTTTATTAAGCTCAATTGTAGTTTGTTGGAATTTACCAACTGCTAACTCAAATTTGACTTCTTCAGTCACTTCATTGTTGTATACCTTGCTAGTACCTGGTTGGATAGGGATGGGAATAGAGAAGCAGTTCTCTACAAAAACTAGTTCCCAGTGGTGCAAGTAGTTCAATTTCTTGGTCTTGTTAAGCTTGGCATACACGGTGCGATTTTTGGCCCATTTTGAGCCGATTTTTTTAGTCATCTGACTGTTTTGGGGATCGGCCCGAGTTTCGGCTTCATCGTGTGTCGTGCATCGTGTAGAATACGTGGGGTAACGAGAAGCGATTAACACCTCACGACCAGCTTCCGATCATCAATCGCTTGGTCGTAAGAAAATCAAACCTGTTTGAAATCCTGTTGGCCATCGTGAGGGTGTCACCGCAGCCTGTCACACCGCGCATGACCAAACACAGAAATGAAAGTGAAGACGGAGCAGCACAACAGTGCAGCGTGTGATGTGGACACAAGTGATGAAAGCACAACTTGTAGAGCTTGCCAAAGTTCTACAAGTGCTGCTCCGTCTTCACTTTCATTTCTGTGTTTGCTCATCTGAGCCTTTTCAATGTTTATCACGACCAGAACTGTGAAAATAGTTGGATGGACATTGCTGCTCAATCACAGCTGCCTATCAATGTTTTTCATTAGCAATTTAGCAAAGTTGATGGTGGTGGTCTGTGTGTCACTCAGAGCGAGAGACAGATTTTGTTATAAGCTTCATGTTATGGACGCACAGTGTGAGCACTGAGGTCGCATCAGAGCATCGGGCCATATGTTGTGAGACCCTGCATCGTGAATTAGGAACTTCTAACCCTGCGAGTCAATCGTACAGTTTGAGCAGGAGCTGAATAACGTGACTAAAAAAATCGCAGTGTTTGCCCAGCTGTAGTTGGCTTGCCTATCGATTCTGCTTATTGGTTCCACTTCCACCGCGATCAGCTGATTTCAATTCATGTGTCTAAGTGGGAAAATAATGGCACAGTTTATAGCATGGATGAGAGCGTGGTGCATCCAGGACAAACAACTGCATTATTCTGCTAACACAATTTCAGCTATTTGCAAGCATCTGCACGGCCAGCCAGCATGCTAAAGTTAAGCTTAGAGCAGGGCGATATGGCCAAAAATATTTATCACGATATATATTTGAAAATTTGCGATAACGATATAACTGACGATATAATTGATGCGAGACAAAATACAACTCCACAACATTACTAGCGCAAAAAGACAACCTATCATTTATTTTCACTTAAACAAGAAGCTGGTTTTTATGTACATTAAAGCTTTATAAAAATGTAACAGTGCAAATGCAAATTCCTTGCTGAAAGTTTAACCAAAAGGCATTTCCAGTAGAAATGGGCTGACATATCCTGAGCATAACCATGTATAATATCCACTGAAGTTAAAAAGAGGTGCTTTGCAACATTAAACTGCAGTGTGCAGTACGTATTTTTCGGACCATAAGGTGCACGGGATTATAAGGCACATTAAGCGAAACAAAGCAGTCAGATAAATCAAACTTTATTAAACTCATTCTTCTTGCTTCCTCCACTTCTGTACCATTGATTCATTAATGTTGAATTCTCTGGCAGCTGCTCTATTCCCATGTTGTTGCAGTATATTAATGACTAACCTCGTATTGTGGATGGATTATCTCAGTTGTTCTCCTGACTGAAGTTTGGTCCTGTTTACAGCATCCTGCCATGCGATTGCATTTGTCTCTAACCATGAGGAACCTTAACGTTAACTTTTATAAGTGGAAAAGTGTTAGTGTTCGTCCTCCAGCTTCACTGTTTATGTTATGCTAACATAGCTGTGTCGCTAGCGATCACGTAGCACATCATTATATACCAGCTAGCCCAACTTCAGTAACCCTACAAACGTCACTGCTGTTTAGTTTCCTGTCTTCATTTATGTTGGAAGTGATAGCAGAGCTGTACGTTTGATTTTTTTCAGAAATCTCTCAGTCAGAACATGCAATATCATGCTTAGGTAACTAGCGAGCTAACTTCCGCTAGCTTCCTGCTAGCTTCTAACTCCGTTAAATGTAATAAATTTTGTTTTCATGGATGCCTGGAAGTTAAACTTCATAGTTACACCTGGTAAAGCAGCAATGCTGATCGTTTTATTAAAGATGAAAGAATTTAGACAGTTTTTAACTCTTAGTGATGCTGCAGTGTTCGTTTGACCTGAAGCATACGGAGTTTAGGACCCAGATTACTCCCAGATTTAAGAGCATCTTAGTCCGACGGCCGCTTGCATGTTCTGCAAAAAAATGTGCTTTGTCGTGTATCTGACGGACAAACACCAAACCAGTTCCACATCACTGAAGTTGCACCATTTTTACAAACCAATTCTGGTTCATCTGTTTCACTCAACAATCGGCCATGTGCGTATGAAAACAAAGGCACTGCGCATGCGCGTTTTACTCATTCTATCGCGATATTTCATTTTCCTATCGTTGCCTAACATTATACCGGTATTACCGTGAACGGTATAATATGGCCCAGCCCTAGTTAAGCTAGCCAAGAAAACGGGTGAATGCTAACCCCAGCCCAGCAGCCACATTCTGAACTTAAACGGGTAACAAAATCCCAGCATATCAGCGGTTTCTGAAAGGCTCAGGTCAGCCTGTCTGGCACCAACAAGCATGCCATTCAGTGAAATAACCTTCATTCTGATGCAGACATCAAACCAGCCTGCTCAAGTACTTTGTGTGCGCGTGCAGTGTACAGACTATGCAGAAACTTGTACTCTACTGATTAATGGCTGAACTGGAACTTTTCACCCTGTATTCTTAAGAGTGAAGAGGAGACTGCAAAATCGACTAGTCAGTGATGGGGATAAGTGTTAGTGCGCGCACTGTGTGTGCAGTGTGCAGTTGAGAGACCAAATTGGGTTCAGAATTATGTCAGTATATCACCAGCCTGGCTTATCACCTAAACTACAATTCTCATAGTCAATAATTCATACATCTGTGGGAGTCACTCTTCTATTCACCTTCATCTGCTGTTCCACCGAGCAGCTCTTATCACTGCACAGCCAGTTTTATGTGCATGCTGCTTATCTCCAGTGTGAGATGAAGGGATAAGAAGCGAACTTGATCTTGGAGCTGAAATTTTATGGAAGAAAGTATTGTTAGGGGAATATGTACCCTGGGGGAGGAAAAAGGGGCTTCCTGATAGTTCGGTAGAATTCTGAGTCGCGTTTCTGGAGATGGAATTTAACCCCTTTTCTGGCCATAAAGGGGATCGTATTGTATTAGTAGCTGGCTTTTAAAATGAAGTACATGATCAAGAAAGTTGACAATGCTAAAACAAAACCCAAGACAATGGAAAAGATGATGTACATTCTGACAGATTAACCTGGAAAATATTTGCACCGTAAACATGGAAGGAATCTCAACACTGTTGTATAAATACGATTTTGCTGCATCAAAGCCGTTGCTGTTCCAGCTAAATGGATTATGTAACAGCTTGCAATTGTATGGTTCTTGAGGTGTTGTGAACATCTGACTTTGTTTTCAGTCGCACCTCAGTGCAGCATAACGTTGCCCCGAGCCCTCAATCTCTCACAAAATGTCAGTTACTGTCATTGGGGCCGCCACGAATGAACCTAAAAGGTAACTGAGTCGCTGTAGCCTTTAGATGATACAGTGTTTTTGTTCATCACGTAAACATGATGTGCATCGTTTCCTAAACCCATGTAAAGGAGTCTTACATTCTTACCTCTGCTTACAAAAGCACGCAGACAGTTGAGCCATCTCAGCTTAAATTGGTCCTTTTTAATATCCCTGTAGAATACATCATTCATTGGAACAGCACCAGCAGTCAGCTGGACTCTTAGTGGTACATTTTGGCCTTTTAGTGACTGCAGCAGAACGCCAAACATCTCTGCTGTTCTGTCTTTTTGATTTCCTGTGTTGTTGGTAAAGGGAGAAAATATGTAATTTACAAAACACAAAATATGTTAAACATTTAAAAAAAAATTATATACGGAATATATGACGGAGCATGAAAATATCTAAGATCTGTTTGTTTTCTTTCCATACAGACATGAGGACATGCCGGATGAATGAGTTCAGCTGTGGCGCCGGCTCAACCCAGTGTATCCCAGTCTTCTGGAAATGTGACGGTGAGAAGGACTGCGACAGCGGCGAGGACGAGGTCAACTGTGGTAGGTGGACGCTGTTTGGCTTGGAGTGCACATGACTTCAGTTGATTTCAAAAACTGGCTATTCATTTTAAGTGATGAGGATATTGTTCGGTGTTCTTGAAATCCTTTGGGATTTAAAACATTCCCAGGTTGCCATCAAACACTCGTCGTGTAGTTTGTCACAGCTAAGCAGTGACCTCTTCATTTCTCATGTTTGCTGTTCATTGCTGAGCACCGTGATGCTGGGAGCTGCAGAAATGCTGCCGTGGACGTAATGAATTGAGACCATCACTGTGAAGCCACTTGAAGTCTCCTTTAGAGCTGCAGCTGAGCAGTTTTCTTTGCCATCTCATTAATATCACAAGTGCACATAAGTTCTTGGTGTGTTTAAGCGTTTCAGAAGTGTTCGAAGTACTGCTTATTACTTGTAGCATTTGGTTTCCAGCTTTTATTGAAGTATTAAAACTGCTTCTAATCGCTGGCATCAGTTTGCCTCCTCCAGCTGTTTATCCTAAATTCTTGCATAAACACACTAACGGCTTTTCCTGCACAGCCCGGTCTGAACGATAACACAATCTGACAGTGAAGCACCCTGTAGACATTTAGATTTTTAATTAGGGCAAATGATTACTTCACATACACATTAAAATGGCTTGCATACTTTTAAGCCATAATATCTTGGAAGATTTTAATAATTGGCTTTCCACATTTGTGCTGAGTGCATGACTCATGTTGTCTAAAAGGTGCCAATTTTGAGCATTAGCACTAATGTGTGACACTATACATATATCATTGTTTAAATACTGCTTAGTATCAGCTCTGAAGCAGCTGAAAACACTCAGAAGCTCAGCTACAGTTAATTGTTTGTTCCTGTTGAGTCTGCACCCCTGTTGTCCTTGAACTGTGTGCTGTGATGACTTACTGCAGCGTAGCGTGCTTAGACGGTGACTTTTTTTTTTTTTTAAAAAGTGAGCTGCCACAATACAGTGTAAATCGCAATCTTGCAAACTCAATGTCTCGCGCATTCTTGGTGCTTCCAGTCGCTGCACTAAACTAACACTGGTGTTATTGCAGAAAGCAGAGGTGCACACATGATGGGTTTTGCTGTTGAGGTTTTTAAAAATGGCTGTGAATTGGTCATCAAGCTGGACTTGTAAACACAAAATGCAGTATTTTGAATATTGAATATTTTGGATGGAAGTCGTTAACAGGCACACAGCAAGTTGTTGACTCGGTTCTGCCCTGTGTGAACTTTTCAGGACTCGGTCTGTGTGTGTGTGTGTGTGTGTGTTCATGTGACAAATGTTTTGCTCCAGCTGAAGCGTGGCATTGTGCTTGTTAATCTGAGACATGGTAAATGGCCTGCATTTGTATAGCGCTTTTCTAGTCCATAGGACCCCAAAGCGCTTTACACTACATTCAGTCATCCACCCATTCACACACACATTCACACACTGGCGATAGCAAGCTACATTGTAGCCACAGTTGCCCTGGGGCGCACTGACAGAGGCGCACAGCAGAGGACAAGTTTCCTTGTCCTCTGCTGCTTGTCCAAGGAAACTTAAGTTTAGCCTATTGTTTTTAAGCTGTAATAACGGTAAACAGAGGTCATAAATTCTAGCTTTAAAAAAATGTCTTATTACTGTTACTGCATTAACAATTCTGTGCTGTCAGTCCTTTCACAGCACACTCACATTTTTCCCATAACCCTCTCCAGGAAACATCACATGTGCCCCAAATGAGTTTACATGTGCCAGTGGACGCTGCATCTCCCGGAACTTTGTGTGTAATAGCGAGGATGACTGCGGCGATGGTTCGGATGAGGTGGAGTGCGCGCCGTCCTCCTGCGGGCCCAGTGAGTTCCAGTGTGGAAACTCTTCATGCATCCCGGCCAGCTGGGTGTGTGACGATGACGTTGACTGCCAGGTAAGAAAGAATGCCACACACTAATTTGCAACACGCACTCTGACACAATTCTTAACTGAATATGGTCCTTGTGACCCAGCCTGTCTCAGTTATTTATTAATGGGAGCAGATGATTAGAGTCTGACTAAAGTATGGTCGCATGGCAGGAAGTGTTTTGGTGTTATGCTGATTCAAACTAAACAACCCATGTAGGATAAAATTCTTATGGTGTTCTGATCAGTAAACCTGACCTTTGACCAGTGTAGCTTTTTAGCACTTATTTGCTTATTCTCATAGAAAGTCAAAGGCAAGTTTTGACAGTGTTGTGAGATTGTGTCGAACCCAGATCAGTGTTTGTTTTTAGGACCCAAATTTATTAAATCTAATGAATACAACCCAGCTGCAACCTCCAGGGCCAAAACATTAAGCCAACACAGATGTGCCAAAAGCAGTTTCCACAGTCTCGTGTTCTTTAAAATTGGATTTTAGAATAGAATTGGCTGCTGTGTAATGATCTGTCCAAGTGTGTGTGATAAAGTTGTGTTTAGAGTGAAATTCTAGTGTTAGTATCTTGAACTAATTAGAATTACAAGATACAGCGGTACAGTACCACTGTGGCGTCGCCAGTGGCATCACTGCTGGGCAGCAAAGGAGGTTGTTGTGGTGCTATACTATAGACAACATGTGGATCAAACACTTGATATAATTGACATTTATTTTTGACCATAATTGGTCACTGACAACATCCATCAGCACAACCATATTATGACTCCAGCTTGCTGTTCAACTTCCACAGTGCACGCCACCCTCTGATCTAAAAATGGTTACTTCTGGTACCAAACAAACTACCATGACAGCAACTGAAATTCTACAGATGTAGTGCCAAAATGTGGAGTTGAAACCCAGTGGATGATGTCAGTTTTAACATCTGTCTTTAAAACGGTCGTATGGACAAAACAGAGAAATGAATGCTGGCTCTTCAGTGGGAGCAGTAGAGGTGAGGAGAGGGATGAGGGGGATGTCGGCTGCAGACAACGAGTGCACCAATCCAGAAACTGCAAACTCGCTGAGTTAACTGGTCACAGGGCTCCTCCTGTGTCAGCATTATACACACCCACACACAAGCTGGAGGGGAGATGCATCTGTCACATGTCAGATGACACAAATCTGATCTTGCACTTTATTCTAGAGAACACTGAATGCCAGAACTGAAATCTGATTCAGAGGAGGCGCTGAATAATGGCAAACTCCATGAAATGGATGGACATGACAAATCATTTTACATCAAGATAGTAAAAAGAGAACCTTTGTCAGGGTTGCAGTAGGGATACGGTCTTAATTTGAGACAGACTGCCAATCAATGGTCCGATATTTAACACCCCCACATAGTTATTAACTGATACTTACTATACGTATTCATGAAGAGGTATTAAATCATTTTCTGCTCTTGTAATACTTGACCCTTTATATGCATTGTCAACTCAAACTTTAGTCTATCCTTAAAATACTGATGTTCTTCACATGATTGATAAAAGCTTAAGCTCACTCTTTCCTTTTTATGAGGAAACATTTTTGTACATGAATACAATCTGGTCTCTTCTAAATCAGTCTTTTCTTTTATAACATTAAAACTTTATTTTAAGATCCTACATTGAATAGGCAAAATCTGTGACTGAGACATGCAGAGTTAAAACTCGGGTTTCCTGACTCTGGCTTTGCATCTTCACTTTGTCTTCAGGTGTTTTTGTTGAGCCTCAAGTATCTGCAGTAGAGATGGCACGATACCACTTTATGTTCAATAAATTTGGATTTCTGCCGATACGATAAGAATCTGATAGTGTTTTTAATCAATGAAACTGTTGTTTTTTTTTAATATCTTGCTGCATCTTGTATAAATTCATGCTCAAGTTTAAATAAACAACACGACTAAATTAAGCTTGCAAAACTGGTGTGCATGGATGTGCGTGCCTAGGGATGTCATACTGCTTTCTTTACAGTGAGGCCACACCCATTTAGGAAATGAGGGAGTGAACTTGTGCATCTTTGCTGTACACCTGAAATGCATGTGGGAAATCCAATGCAGGTGTACAGCAAAGATGCACAAGTTCACTCCCTCATTTCCTAAATGGGTGTGGCCTCACTGTAAAGAAAGCAGTATGACATCCCTAGGCGCGCACATCCATGCACACCAGTTTTGCAAGCTTAATTTAGTCGTACCACCCAGCAGCCTCTGACCTGCCTCACACACAAATATTTTCACACACTGCAGAACAAGTTCTACTGATGCAACAATATGCTGCATACCCATTAATTGGCTCACCGGACACAAACACTCACTCCCACAAATATTTAAAGGGCTGTGTTCAGTGGGAATGTCGTTATTGTTCCCTCTCTGCTTCTCACACCCCGCCTGCCCTGTGTCAGTATTACGGAGCAGCAGACACATGCGTTCTCACACTCCATTAATCTGCTCCCATGTGAGTCGGTGACTTTGTGAGATGATGAAAGTGTGAGAAACTCCTTCGTGCTGCTTCTCTTGCTCCTGTTCTGGTCTGTTTGGCAGAGATTAATTCTAATTAATGAGCTAATCATCAGAGATCTAAGTGCTAAATGCTTCTGGCTATGTCATCTGTGACCTGTATGCCCCCTCCACTTCCAGATCATATGTAAATAATAGTGTGAGAGGAACCGTGTGTATGTGTCTGGGCTCTGTCCTTCAGTGGCTGATGGTGCAAAACTTGGTTTAAAAGTTTTAAAATGTCTCATTAGAATTATAAAACCCACAAATGGCCTTTGACATGCAGCTTGACTAAAGTTTCTCATACACTCAAACCAGACCCTAGTAAATAAGTTTGTATTAAAGTATTACATAACAGATGTGCTTGTTTTAACTTGTTTCAGAGCTGGTTTAATAAAGGACTCGTTTGCTTTTTAGTCAGACATTGTATTTCAGATTACAGAGACTTAAACCTCAATTTCACACTTTAATATGAAATAAGCTGCTGATGGCCAGAGAATGTTTTTTGTTTTTAAAAAAAAAAACACACCTGTCATTGCCACGAACATCATCAGTAGCCTAGACAAGCAAATGGCTGGCCAGCCGGCTTGCCTGATAGGTGAACTGAGTCTGAGCCATCAGTTCTCCCTGCCAGGTTTACTAGCTTTAAGTTAGACACAATTTTGAGTTGGGAGTTTGCCAACAAAACTTTAGGATGATGCACTCAATGTTGCTTCTCTGCAAAATTAACTAGAGTTCAGACCTGTTGTATTTATGAATGGTGAAGGGAGGCAGTCTGTGCCTTCAGATTGTTCCTATCTACTGGAATAATGTAAAGAAACCTTCACCCTCAGCTCCATCACCCACAGCTGTTGATACTCCAGGATGCCTCAGTGAAATTACTTTATGGAGGCTTTGTCAGTCGGCATCATTTTAAAAATAAAATATTGTCAACATGAGTTGCTCGTGTGTGGCAAACAGTGTTGTTACACCTGGCTTGGCAAATCTTTTCTGTCTGCTTGGATCAGCTGGAGGGACTTAATGTTGCTGTACTGCTGTGCAAATTGGGAGTTTCTGTCAGGCAACTGAGGTGGCACAACGGCTGTTAGACTATTAACTTTTGTTTGTTTTTTTGTTTTTTTTCTCTAACAAGCAGTCTCAAGTCCCCAAAAACCTCCTGAATTATGATTTTTGCCCAACTGAAAGGATGAATGGTTTCCACGGGTGGTCTCTGTAGCTTTCAAAAGTCCAAGACAGTCAGAGCGGAGTCTGACACCACTACAATGATGCTTTGTTCAACCAACACCTCAGACCTTTAAATTATGTAAAAGTATTGCAGAGTTGCACATTTAAAAAGCTGGAACCATTAAATTTCAGCTTTTCGTTATATAATTTACATGTAATTTTGGTCAGCACTGTGCATTTCCAGGGGATTTATTCAAAAGCTTCAATTCTTAATGAAAGCTTCAGATTGAAAGTGTAAAACTGACTAAATTATATATGCTAAATCAAAGAACTCCAAGGCACTCGTTTCAAATAAAATTTGAAGTGCTTTTATTCTCATGACATGGCTGTGCTTAACTTTAAACTCAACACAATTCAACAGACAAGTCTTCCAAACCCTTCCAAAGACCACGTCAAATAGAAGCGGTTTGAATTTGTGGTTTGTTTGGGTTGTTGTTTTTTTTTTTGTTTTTTTTTTTTAAACAGTCATTTAAATTGTGTAGTGTGTTTTTTGATAACTAGCACTGACCAAGAAGACAAATGTCCTTTTTAGACTGTACATGTTTGCTTTTTGCTCCTGCTGGCAGTCTTTAATCTGATGGTTGCGTAAGATCAAACACTTTATTATAACCTGTTTTCCATTGTAACTGGTATTTACTTTTACTTATGGCAGGCTCCCTTCCAGAAAATTGCTAGAAGAGGCAAGAAAACTGCACATAGAAAATTTTGCAAACTGAATATTTGCTGAAATAAACATCGCAAAACACTTTAACACCATTTAACCAATCAGGAGGTCCTATAATATGATCATGTCAGTTTCTCTGTAAAGTAAATGAGTATCAGCTCTTGCAGTGCCCTAAAAGTCACCTTGTGTCCTAACAGGACCAATCAGATGAGTCTCCATCCCGCTGTGGTCGGCACCCAACACCCCCAGCCAAGTGCTCGCCCAGCGAGATGCAGTGTCGCTCAGGAGAGTGCATTCACAAGAAGTGGAGGTGTGACGGAGACTCTGACTGCAAGGACGGCAGTGACGAAGCGAACTGTCGTATGTACACAAGCTTTGCGTGATTCACAATCCCAAATAATCTTTAGCTGATACTGGACAGTAAGCTGTAGTTTATCCTCTATCTGAAACAAGCAGTTTGGGCTCCTTTCCAGCTCCATTTGATCTAGTGTTGTTCTGATGGGTAGCTTTTCCCAACAGCCAGCGGGTGGAGCTTCTGTTTGCACATAAAGTGAAATGGTCACACAACGATTATCACCCACTATTTTGGTGGCACTTGGCATAGAGCCACTACTCCTCCACATTGAAAGGAGGCAGTTCAGGTGCTTGACATCTTACTAGGATGCCTGCTGGATACCTCCTAGTTGAGTAGCTTTGGGCATGTCTTACAGGGGAAACAGTCCTGAGACAGACCCCAGGACACATTGGAGAGAGTGTCTCTCGGCTGGCTTGGGAATTCCTTTGTAGTCCTCTGAGGGGAGGTTCAAGGTTCTTTATTCATCACATGCATAGTTATACAAGTGTGTATATAACACAGTGAAATGTAACCTGACACGCTCCTCGACTTGTGCAAAAGGGGGGTGAGAGGAAGAATATTATATACATTAGGTGAATGTGCAGTAGTAGCATTGTATGTCGCAAGCAGGTGAATTCTGTACATTAAGTGAATTAAATAAGAAGAGACAATATGAACATATTTAAAATTAAAGGAATTTGAAATGTACATTGTTTAGTGGTTTAGTGTCTAAAAAAGTCCTCTCAGTCACTTATGGATGATGTGAGAGGGAGCATGAGTTAGTGTGTCAGGGCCCGGATGGTTTGGGGATAGAAACTCCTCTTGAGTCTCTCTGTCCTTGCCCGGAAGATGTGGAACCTTCTACCAGATTGCAGAAGTTGGAACACTTTGTTGCCAGGATGGGACGGGTCCCTCTGTATCTGCGCTGCTCTAGTCCGGCATCTCCTGGTGTAGGTGTCCTGAAGCGGGGGGAGAGCAATCCTGCAGCAGCGTTCTGCTGTACGGATCACTCTCTGAAGAGCTTTTTGGTCCTTCACACAGCTGTTCCCGAACCACGATGTCATGTTCTGTGTGAGGATGCTCTCCACAGCGCCTGTATAGAAAATCCTGAGGATCTCTGGAGAGACCCTGAACTTCCTCAGTTGTCGTAGATGGTTCAGGCACTGCCTAGCCTTTTTGGTCTGGACCTGAATGTGGGCAGACCATGTTCTGAGGAGATGTGGAATACTTGAAGGACTGCACCCTCTCCACTGGAGCTCCATTGATGATAATGGGCTTGTAGTCTCTGTGCTGACTACTTCTGAAGTCCACCAGCAGCTCCTTGGTCTTGCCAACATTCAGCTGGAGATGGTTGTCCTGGCACCATGATGCCAGATTTTTCACTTCGTCCATGTAGGCCACCTCATTGTTGGAGATGGCACCCAACACCACTGTGTCATCAGCAAACTTCACAATAGTGTTGGAGCCGTGGGTGGCCACACAGTCTGTAGTGTAGAGGGAGTAGAGCAGTGGCGAGAGGACACATCCCTGTGGTGCTCCTGTGTTGATGGTGATGCTGTTAGCCCATCTACCCACCCTCGCCACCTGAGTTCTGCCAGTGAGGAAGTCCAGCGCCCAGGTCTGGTAATCTCTGCTCAGATCGCTGCCCTCTGTTAGCCAAACGCAGATAAATGGCAGAAAGTGGATGCACACTTGGATATAGCATCAAACAGCTGTTCTAACAAGTGCTGAGTATCAATTTCTACAGAACAGATTAGCAGTATTGCTTCTGTAGAAAACTTGGCTTTCACTTGTTTTCATTTCATCTGTATCAAAGGAAAATGTTTGGTATAAACTGGCTTAAATTATTTCAGTGTTAAAGAGGTTTAATAAAACAAACCCTCCAGCTGTGGGTGCTACGCTCCTACGTTTCTTCCATTAATTACCTGATAATCTGTTCGTTGCCTATCAGTCGATGCTCTCCACTTTAATCCATGCTGTGATTAGGATTCAGTCAAAAAACAAAACAAGATGTCAGTCATCTGCACATTTTTAATTGGCTTTGTTTTTTACTTACAAGAGCTTTCGTGGCTGAATTTTAATATGGTGCTCATGAATACAAACATAATTATCTAGTGATGTTTTTCTTTTCACTCCTCTGAGTGAACAGCTATCACAAATTGGCTGAACTCAAACTTGGGTATTTTAGTTATTCTGCACTGATGAATGGATTTTGAATGGTTCACTGAATATTCACAAATGTTTAGTGTTTAAAGAGTAGCCCATGTCAGCACATGTGCAACTCATGTTTGTCCTTGGCAGCTGTTCGCACCTGTGGGTCGGATCAGTTCAAATGTGACGATGGAAACTGCATCCTGGGCAGCAGACAGTGTAATGGCCTCAGAGACTGTGCAGATGGATCAGACGAAGCAAACTGTAGAAACAGTAAGTGTTGTGTGTTGGTGTGAATGTTCACAAACTTATCACCTGAGTGCATTATCAGGATGTGGTTTTTTGTTTTTTTTTTTTATTTTGTGGGGGAATTCTTCTACAACATGCAAGTTTCCATTTCTACATCTTGAGGCTCACCTGAGGTACCAACAGTGTTTAATTTTAAAGCTGCTCTGGACATGCAAATGTTGACATTTTTCAGGGTTTTTTGTAACAGTCAACCTCAGGTGGTGCTCCTTGTTTCTTCAAAGGAAAGCTGTCACTCTCCAGATTTGTGGCAGTTTCATTTTTGTGTCCTAATCTAGAAGATGTATATTCAGTGAAAAAACAAACAAACCAATTATCTTTTGCTGATTTTGCTCCAGTGTAGTTTTAGAAACTTGTGATTACATTTGTTATGTAATATTTACTCTGACAGATGGAAAAATTAATGAATATTAAGCAACTTCAGCTTTTTAAAGCGCTGAATGCTTATTTTAAACAAGTCTAGTTTTAAACCATGAGGTTAGTGCATATAATCCCTGTGAGACGCGTGTCTGAGAGCAGATGTCCTGTAAAATGGGTCAGGCACACACCTTTGGCTTTGAGTTTAGAAGCTCTGCCCACATGTGCTTTTCCAGGATGTTTAGGGGCAGATAATGAGAAGAAATTTGGCTTAAAGGGGGAGGAGCTAATTTTCACACAGGATAGACTGAGGGCCTACAACAAGCCCTAAAGCAGTTTAAGTACAACCTTCCATAGTTGTATTTGCCTCCTTTTGCCTTTAGAACTGCCTTTGATATTTAATTGTATGGATTTTAGGTTTTACTGAGATTTTGTTTCATGTTAACATGATGGCATCAAACAGTTGAGGTCTTTAACCACATCCCAAAGGTGCTCTTCTGGTTTGAGGTCTGGTGATGCTAGAAGCCGTTTAGTTCACTTTACTCAAACAGTGTCACAAATTTTCATGTTCAAAAACCAGTTTGAGCTTTGACATGGTGCATTGTCCTGTTGGAAGCAGCCATCTGATGAGTTCATTGTAGACATAAAGGGATGGAGTAGCGATACACACGCAGCCTGTGATGTTTAAGCCACGCTCAGTTGGTACTAAGGAGCCCAGAGTGTGCCCATCCCCTACATCATCGCACAACCACAACTAGCCTGAACTCCCTGCTTTCATGTTTTAATTCTGACTCAAACATCCAAATGTTGAATGAGGTTATTCTTCTTCCTCCTACTCCTTCCTCCTCCCTGCAGTGACTCAGTGTAATGGTCCAGAGAAGTTCAAGTGTCGCAGCGGGGAGTGCATAGAGATGAGCAAAGTGTGCAACAAGGTCAGAGACTGTCCCGACTGGAGCGATGAACCGATCAAGGAATGCAGTAAGTGTTCATTTTTATTTTTTTAATTAAAAAATGTAACTGAATTCATCCATGACTGATTTTTCAACTCTGGGTCATGCCCCTCTTAGGTCACAGACTTGCTCCTTTTCTGATTTTGACATTGATGCTTCACTGCAATGAAAAGATGAAACGTGTTCAGGAGATTTGCTTTTCAGCTAATTCAGATGTCTTTTCCCGCGGGCCTGAAAGTATCCGGGAGAGTTTATTTCAGGCAATGACATTCCTTCCTCTGTGCTACACATGGATTTATGCTGATAATATGTGGAGATTTTTTTTTTTTTTACGTAAATCAGTCCATGAATCTTTCATGAGTCCTACAGTTCAGGTCTAAATAATTCTCTTTCATGGATCAAACAACTCAACCAAAAGTGACTATCAGGCTTTCCACAATCGGAATACTAAATGTATGAATTCAGCTGCAGCTCAAACAAATGAAAAGATCTGGAAATGATATAAAAAGAAATCTACAATCACTCATGAAGTAACCTTGACAAATTTGCATGACAATTCATGACTATTTATGTAAGAATGTTACAGATTGTTGTACAGAACTAGTGTACATTGTCAAAATGCATATTGGGGTACATAAAACTTATCCTTGGTGGCCAAACAAGTGTTCAGAGTGCTGAAATGAAAAGCAATGGTGACATCCTAACCACCACCACCCCACCCCCCAGAAATAATAACAGCTGTAGCTTGAGCACGTGAAAGGATGTTGGCCTGTGGCTCATTAAGCCTTACACCTTAATAAATCACACTGTCTGTGGGCAGAGAGCGTCAGTACAGAGATGGCTGAAATTCACCATCATTAAGAACATACAGTGTTGATTTATTAAGCCTTACACCTTAATAAATCACACTGTATGTTCTTAATGATGGTGAATTTCAGCCATCTCTGTACTGACGCTCTCTGCCCACAGACAAACTAAAGCACCATGATCTGAAGTTTACGCCAGCTTCTAAGCTGATGCCATGCTGAGGGATTTTCTTCAGTTTGTCATGCATTTGGTTCATTTTTCTTCTATTTCAGCTTCGGGAGGTTTTTAGAGATTTGCTCTGACCACCCAGAACATGTGCTTACTGTTGTGATTGCAGGGTTCTGGGAGATAGTCTCTCCCTGCTGTTGGGTTTATTCTCATAATAATTATAGTTGTGCATTTTAAGATTTCAACAAGCGCACTAATTACAAACATGGTCTTTGTGCTGTAAGTACAGCCTTTGACTTTGTGCTGATGTAAATGATGGTCAGCCAAGTGCATGTTAAAGGAGGTTAATCCTGACAAGGATAGCAGTTGTTGGTTCTTGTTGCTGCCTGTTTCATACACATGCTTGATGTATAAAGAACAAGAGGACAACTTCAGAAAGCCAGATTCCTTTAATACAACAGGATGAAATTGCAGTTTTGTTTTAAAGCAGTTTTAAAAGAAATTAGGCCACACCTGTTTACCCAGCTTTCATTATGGCACTGATGCTCCAAAGACCTCAACACAACACTGGTTCGTGCCTTTTAGTTACCACTACATACTACAGGCAAATAAGTGTCTTAACAAACATTGCTCTGAAAAATGAGTAAAAAAGCAGTTGGTGTCCAAAGAACCTTTAAAAGACATTTAAAAGCTTTGAGAATAACTAGTGTCTCTCCTTGGAAGCAAAATATTAAAAATTGGGAATGTCTGAACAGTCGCTCGTCATCACTCTGGTTTTCCAATTGGTTGCTTATCTTCTGGCTACCTTACACAGTACATTGCTTCACGTCCACACAGGTTACTGATGCACGTTTTAGCCTTTTTGGTTTTAAATGTTGTTTTTCTTAAGTTATGGGGCTTTTCCATATTGTGTTCCACCCTCTGAGTCTACTAACAAATGCCAATTCATGATATTCAAACCTCTTGTGGTTTGAAGATCTTTCAGTGAATACAATCCTCGCTTAGCTTCGACTCAGACTTCTCCCAAACCACCTTATCGTAACCTTTTAGATCTAATTGGACACAACTACAGAGCTGTTTCCTGTGTTCCAGATTTTAACGAGTGTCTCCTGAACAACGGTGGCTGCTCGCACATCTGTAAAGACATGGTGATTGGCTACGAGTGTGACTGCACGCCTGGGCTCCAGCTTATAGACCACAAGACCTGCGGAGGTATGCGATCTCTGCATTACACAGCTTGGTGAAAAATGCTAAAAGAAATTTTTAAATCAGTTTTGACAGCACTGCAGTATTTAGCGTTGGGAAACTCTTACTCAACACAGGATGAATGCATTTTTCTAAAAGGGTTCAAAAGTGTGAGACTGTCTGAATGTACACAAGTATAGGCATCCATCCAAAAACCAAACAACTTTAATACACTGAATTCAATCTAAAACCTTTAAGACTTAAGGAATATTTAATTATGCTTGCCCTCAAATATCTAATCACATGGGTCAGATGGGCTGGTGGTGTTATGCACTTCTGGCCTCTGAAGGGTTTGGCGTGTAATGTGATTGGGCGTGTCGTAATCTGTTTTCCTAAAAGCAGAAATCCTCTTGGTTACGTTTAGGAGGCACTGATCCGTCACAGTTCTGTTATTGAGCCAATCTTGGCCTCAAACCCTGCTTTGGATATTTGGTAAACGTGTATCATCCCATCTGTATGAACCCCACTGGTTCCACAGAAGCGTTTAATCTACTCCAGGATGTAGAATGATCACTAAACTCTGGAAAACGTTTGATAAATTTACATCTAATTCTGATGAGAGCAGCTCGTCGAGTGTTTTGGCAAAACATCAGCGGCAATTAAAGCAAGTTTTAATTTGCATTTTGTGTATTCGAGGCTCAAATCACTTTACACTCTCATGCAGTAGGAATCCCAGGAACATCCTATTTTTGAAAAGCAAGATAAATTTTCATCAATACACACGGACTATACAGCTGTTGAGCCCCCAAAGAAAGATTTGATTATTCAAACTGAGGCATTTAGCAGATTTGATAGATGAAACATGCCACATACAGCTGTTCTTTCTTCACACACGCCTCATGATTCGCCTTTCTGCTACTCTTCTGCAGATATCGATGAGTGCATGAATCCTGGCATTTGCAGTCAGATCTGCATCAACCTGAAGGGAGGGTACAAGTGTGAATGCCACAACGGCTATCAGATGGATCCGACCACCGGCGTCTGCAAGGCTGTTGGTGAGTTAGCAGCTGGGTGAACTTATTAAAATTTCACCTCAACATTTTGATCATATTTTTGTCTATATTGTTGGCTCTGCCACTGTCTGGGTCCCGATCTCTGGATAATACGGTGTTTTGCATCCCTCGAGCTAAACAAAAAATTTGGTGTCTTGTAAAGTATTGTGGAAATGGGTCTCGTCTCCTGATAAGTAGCAAGAGTCTGAGCTGACCCCTCAGATCCTGCAGGAATAGTCCTGAGCAATGCAAACTTGGGCTCTTTTGAAAGATTATGGTGAAATATCATCTTCATGGCAGAAAAGACATTTCAGGATATATTCATGTACTGGGGGGGCAGTGGAGTCACTTTGATGCTCACATGTGTAACTGTTCATATATGGAGACGTCTGTCCAGTACAGACCCAAAAACTTGGATTTGTCCATCGTGATCTAAAATTGAGCCTCACTTCTACTTTTCACAAACGGCTGCATCCAGTGTGTCTGAGCTGCAGTGGCTTTAGATGACACTGAACCCTTACAGATTGCTGATGTGACTGAACTGGCAGCTTCATGTCTGATCAGGGTTATGACCTTTGGTGTGCGTATGATTTGCTGCCAGACAGAAAAACATCTAGTGATTCACACTCAGTGTCTGAAGACTCTGTGTGGGAGAAAATTGTAGGCGTTGCATTTGGTTTGTCATTGCTTATAACCAGCAGCTTTGAGGCTTTAGTTGACTAACTGCTTCAGATACATCGAGGTAAGAGTGCTGAAAACACACCCACAGATCTATTTATTCTTTTGGGGGGGGAGTTCACTCGGATTCTCCAGCTCCTTTATTGCCAACAGTAATATAGTTTGCAGCCCAAAAGAACTAAGTGATAGAGTTCAACCACTATACTGTGGGCTCTCACTCCGAAGCGCAGCAAGTTCACGCCATTGACTCAAAATGGTCCATAATTTGCAGATGCAAAGTGATGATAGTGCCTTTGTATGTCAAATCAGTATTAAACTTTTAGGCTTGTTCGCTGCTAAAAAAAAAAACAAAACACTTTAATGTCAGGAGGAGGGATGTTTACAGCATATGAAGGTCCACAAGTTGAAATGGTCTGTTTCTCTTTTCTGAAAGGCTTTCAGAGTGGAAAGCAGCGTTTTAACACAGGGCTCTTGTTGGATTGCATTAGTATTAAATGGGTGAAGCTAATTAACTGTAAGCACTGTGGTTTTAATGCAGCTTTCAGCTATGGAAAAAATCCAGCAGAATGACAATTCTGTGGACTAATGGGGAAAATGATGGGTTGGCACTAGAGCTGGGTGGTGAATTGATTTTTAAGGTGTATATTTTCAAAGCAGGCTTAGGATCACAACAATACCACGGCTGAACATTTTCATTTGTAAGTCGTTTTTTCGGGGGGGTGCAAGAAGGAGTTATGTACAATCTGAGATGTACTACTGTGTATTTGACAACACGGGGTCTGGTGTTATCTGGCTGCAGGTGTCATCCATTGTAGGTCTTATGTGTTTCTGCAGTAAAAAAAAAAAAACTTAATTGTTCAGCTTGTTGACAAAGATGACGCCTGTTCCCTTCCACTACTTTACTGATGAATAGAAAACAATGGGTGAAAACAAGCTCCTACTTTAAGCACACAATAATCCCAATTCTTAAAATAGTTTTAAGAACTGTGACCAATAATTTGTCCTAAACAATAAATGGAAGGCATAAAATACTTTGGAAAGATTGTCGTCATTCAATAACCCCTTTCCTGTCCTCAGGTAAGGAGCCATGCCTGATCTTCACCAACCGCCGTGATATCCGTCGTCTGGGCCTGGAGAGGAAGGAGTACACTCAGATTGTGGAGCAGCAGAGAAACGCAGTGGCTCTGGATGCAGACTTTGACCAGCAGACCATTTTCTGGGCTGACCTGGGCCAGAAGGCGATCTACAGGTAGGGTAGTAGGTGATTAGAGGGAATTACGCAGGCAAACGGGCAATAGAGTATTGTTGTAGGACTATGGGAGGCATTGACAGTGCAGCACAATGTAGTTGTAACTTCACAGGGTAAATGGATTTTATTTGTAAGGTAAACTTAAAATTTTTCCTCTGGTCTGTTAAAGCAGTAAGTTTTTCTCCTCGTGGCCGTGTTGCAATTCAGCTGCTTGATATTTTCATCAAAAAAAATCTAAATGTGTAGAATGAAAGGTTCTATTTTACTGAGCTGCCTGCAATAGTTTTGAATTTTATGTGATATAGAGGTCTCAGACTGAAGGGATAATATACTGGGAGTCCTAGCAGCATTTGAAAAACTGTATACATGTATAAATTCTCTATGCATCTGTCCGATGCTGAACTCTTCTCCACTCAGCACTCTTCTGGACAAGCGTGTAGACATTGGCACCCATAAGAAAGTCATTGACAACGTGCAGACTCCAGTGGGAATCGCTGTGGACTGGATCTACAAGAACTTGTACTGGTCTGATCTCTCAACCAAAACCATCTCTGTGGCCAGTTTCAATGGTACCAAGCAGAAAGTTCTGTTCAACAGGGGTCTCAAAGAACCGGCCGATATTGCTGTGGATCCGCTGTCTGGGTAAGTGGACGGCTCATTTTGGTGTTGGATGAAACCCTTGTGATCTCCCGCTGATGGTCTGCTTTTACTTATGATTGTGTCGGTCCTACAGGTTTCTGTACTGGTCTGACTGGGGAGAGCCAGCCAAGATAGAGAAATCTGGTATGAACGGAGTGGACAGACAGGTTTTGGTGGCGACAGACATCCAGTGGCCTAATGGAATCACACTGGGTAGGAACAAACCAACAAGTCACTGCACGTTTTTCTTTAAGTCTGGGGTGTCTACAGGTCATTTAAA